AAAGAGTGTAGATATTAGGTTTAAGCGTATTTAATGATAAAATGATTGAGATGGATATTGTTGAATTATCGATAGGAGTGAAAATATTATGAGAGTAAGAATGAACTTCACTAACTTGCTTAAAAATACATCTTTAGGTCTCCTGTGTTTAGAAAAATAGAAGCAAAGATCAATTGCAATCCACATCCTATTTTATATGCATCTAAATGTGATTGTTATCAAGAAGTCCCAACAATCTAGTTTAATACCAATAAAGTTATTCCAATTAACCTAAATTACTCTTAAATTTGTGATGGGATTAGCCATGCTTAATTTTATTAGAGTACATATTACTATTACTTTAAATTGCTTATCTTCATCTTTCTTAATTTTTTGGGCTCATCTAGAAGTTCCCATATCCATGCAAAGCTTATGTTAAATATAATTCCTGATTATGGTTCCTCTGGTACGTTGTTTATGTACTTAGCCTCTTTTCAATTGGCTACACAAATGAGTTAGCCCATACTTGTTTTATGAATTCTCTCCCTACATGAGCAACACATTGGCAACCTTTGAGGCGTTATAACTGTACAAGGTGGGACACACCATGACAAAGTTTTATATTATCTATCTATCTCTCTATCTATCTATATATCTATATATATATATATACATATATATGTATATACATATATATATGTGTGTATATATATATATATATATATATATATATATATATATGTAATATATATATATACATATATATATACACATATATATATGTATATATAAATACATATATATATATATATGGATACACACACACACACACAAACGGATACATACATACACATACATACACACAAGTGGTATTCACAAATACCATCATTTATATTTTGTTGTCTTACCTATTACAGTTATAATGCTTTAAAGGTTGTGTGTGTGTGTGTGTGTGTGTATAATTGAAACATGTGTTCTATCTTCTTTAGTAAAATGTATCATAAGATGAAGTGTAATATCTTATATTTCAGTTAAAAGCTTAAAGATTAACTAACAATTTCTTATTTTTAATAAACTCCATCAAATTTAGTTTCCACTACACAAACTAGGAGTAAAAGAATGTTTTCTTTAGAAGAAAACAACAACAAAAAATAAAGGAACTTGGATGCACTTATATCAAGGCATAAAAGAAGGGAGATAGTTGTTGGCTGAAAGAAAAGATCTCTTAAGTCATCATAGTGGAGCTTGAGAGAATCAGCGGCACGAGAGACGGAGAACGTGAGGCATCACATACAAGCTCATTAAAAGAGAGGTGCACAAGAACTCGACAAAATTTTAGAATGTTGCAATTGGTAGAGACAACAACCAAAATAAGGCATTTGTGACTGGGTGGGAGTTGAATGAACTTGTGATCAACAAAAACTGGTGGAATTCAAAACGTGATTTCAAGTAATGAATCAATTTAGACTATTATTTAGAGTATGTTTGAGTTGACTACAATTTTATATAAATGTGTTTCTAATGCTTCCTTTTGAAATTTTCTTAAAAGTATTGTAGATATTATAAATACACACACACATATATATAAAGGAATTGTCGGAGGCTATTATACGAGCCCAGCCATCCCTCATGCGCCTAAGAATTTGAGTATCATACCCTACACTCGGGGGGAATTGAACCTCAGACCAGAAGGGACTTACAACTGAAAAGCAGATCCCCGACCAACTGATTTGAGTATGAAGCATATATATATATATATATATATATATATATATATATATATACAGAACTTTTTTATAGTTAGTAGACTTCAGTAGATTTGGTTCTTAAAAGCAACTCCCACGAAAAAATAAACTCTAAAAAATAGAAAAAAATTATTAGCCAAACGGATGCGTGGCTACAACTTATTAAACGAAACAGTGAGAAAGTTGTCCAAAACCAACGACTCTCACATGTGATACTTTCGTATTGCGGTGTGCTCAACCCATGCTTGTGTCCAATTTTGGCAAATAATATCTCAATGACAATTTTAATTATTGACAGTCATGTGTTAATGCATGTCAGAGGTATATCTATATTAGACACATATTAACCATGAACTCGAAATCCATTATGAAACCTTTGTGCTTTAACATCAATGGCTTTGTAGTTTAGATGCTACTCTCGAGCCAGTTTGTTTTTTCATTCAAGCTTTGTCGTACCCCACATGCAGCCATTTAATTGTAGCATGGATAGGATTTTTTCTACAATCTTGAAGGCATGCAAACAGTAGCTTCTTTTAAATGAATGATGGTCATATCTTTTTCAAACTTTATGTTAAATCTTTCCAATTTTTATTAGGGGCATTTACATATATACCACCCAATTTTTATCCACTTACATATCTAGCACCTAAACTTTGCTTTTTTACATTTATACCACCTAGATCTTTTATATCACGTAAAAAATACCACTATTTTAATTTTTAAAACGTAAAACACACATTTTCATCCATAGTTAAGATTTTATGCAAAAATTGAAGTTTAGATGTAAAATTTGTAAATGCATAGGAATTAAGTGGTATATATGTAAATCTTTCTAATTAAAAATATTTTGTATAAGGTTTAAGGCAATAAATCTATAAATATAGATTCTTTCTCTTGTGCATTTGGTATGCTAAATTCCTCTTCCGCCTTTCGGAGCGAGCTCCATGCAATATAATATATATTTTTTTCCCAGTGTTTTATCCTTCTTTATGTTATTTCGTGAGAATAATATGCACATATTTATCTGTTTAAGGATCTTCATCGTCTTTTTTATTCCATAAGAACCATCATTTTTTTCACTTTGAGCTGAAATCTCCATCATTTAATGCCATTAACCCCAATCACTTCTAATTTACTTTCAGAATCTGGAATTCATCCAGAGCAAAGTGAAACTAAACCCTTTGAAGAAGTGGCAGCTGAAGCTCAGCTAAATGAAATAATGCAAATTGAAAGCTATGCAAAATCTTATATAAGAGATATCCTTATTGTTTCTGGACGTTACAAATCCTGGCCTTTAGATCAAACACTTTCCAGACTCGATGGCTGTACCGAGTCAATCTCTTCGTCTGTTTTCGATGAAGTCGAAGAAAAAAACTGTAAATTTGAGATGGCTGAAGCGAACTGCTGCAAACTTGGTGAAATCGATATGGATAGAAAGCTGTTATTCGACATGGTGAACGAGGCTTTGCCCGCCGTAACAGGTTCTCCTATGTCCCCTTTGACATCGAAAAAATGGAAGGAGAGCTTGACTCAGTTGCCTTGTGGAGTAAAATTGCTTGATGATTTGTTTCATCAGATTAAAATGTATGCAAATCCTAAGATTGTTCAACACAATTCAATAGACAAGGTTGTGGCATGGGATGTGAAGTTAAGGCCTTGGTTTACTTCATCTTATGAGGATATTGGCTATGTGGAGAAGGAAGTGGAGGGGTTGATTATTGGAGATTTGATTGATGAGTTGGCATTGGATTTGAGTTGTTTCAGTGATGTTTTTATCATGTAAATTTTTGTTTCATTTTATGCCTTATGATGAGAAGAATAAAAGAGTTCAGTAATGTGCAAATATTTACATGATTTTTTTTGAATTTGTTATTGGTTTTGTTGAAGAAAAAATAATAAAATGGTAAGAGAGTTTGTGTGCATAGTTTGTAAGTGTTTGACTCAGTTTTATGAGTGGTAATTGTATAATATTTACACAAAAGTATGTTGAATTTCAGCATTTATGCTTGTGTCTCTTTTGTGACAGCCAAGAAGTTTAAAGGTGTTTTTTTTTGGAAGATTTACATACATACCACTTAATTCTTATATATTTACATATCTAACACCTAAATTTCAATTTGTACGTATATGCCACCTTGCTTGAAAGATACGAAAACGTGTATTTTTCTTCTTTTAAAGCTAAAATGATGGTACTTTTGACTTGATACGGAAGAATTGGGTTGTATAAATGTAAGAAAACAATTTTGGGTGTTAGATATATAAATATGTAAGAATTGGGGGGCCAGCACTGTCAATGTCCCTTCTAGTTATTTATTTTTCAGATTTTTTCAAGGGTGCTATTCACTAGGAAAATAAAACAAGAATAATGAGTAGTGTGTTATCCTCCGTTAACTCTTCAACGATTTTTGTCCTTGAGGCGAGAACATTTTTTTAACCACAATTCTTCAACACTTTTGCTCCAATAGAAATCAATGGTTCACAATAGCATATTTGCAGTCCAATCACAGATGAATATAGCATAAGTATTGACATCATTTTTGGTCAACCTCATTTTCCTGACCTAAGCTTAACTAGATTTCATCCGAGCCGAGTCTTGAGAAAACTTAATTTAATAAAATTGCGTTTTAACTTAATGAAAATTAAACTTAACCGAAGCAAACTTCAAATACAATCAATTTTTTAATCAAATCCAAAGATAGTTTTAAAACACCCTTAATCACCAAAACTCTGAGATTATCGTTTTCCCTCTGAGATCATTGTAGGGCTCCAATCTTCATTTTGAATGTTGCATGACATCTATATCATACA